ATATATATATATATATATATATATATATATATATATATAATATGTATATATATAATATTTATATATATATATGTATATGTATATATAATATGGATATATATATATATATATATATGTATATATATATATATATGGATATATATATATATATATATATATATATATGTATATATATATATATATATATATATGTATATATATAATATATATATATATGTATATATATATATATGTATATATATTTATGTATATATATATAATATGCATATATATATGTATATATAATATATATATATATATATGTGTGTGTGTGTGTGTGTAGAATAAGTTTTAATAGAAAGATTTTATAAATTTCAACCGCAAGTAGCACTAGCTCGCACTCGCACTTCCCGCCTGTGGAACTTCCATCCGTTTACTTGCTTCCTTGATAACCATAATCTTTAAAAAATTAAATGGAAGATCAACCGCCATATTCTTGATTCCAGTTCATCTTTTACTTTTTCCTCATTCCTAAGTCTTTTCTCTCACTTTCACTCGCTGTAACCCCCCTGCGGACTAGTGGCATTTCCGCCTTGCTTGGGGTGAAATTATAAAAAAAATCAGAACATTTACTATTATTATTGATACTACTCCTCCTCCTCCTCCTCCTACTCCTACTACTACTTCATAAGTCCCTCAATCAGTTCGGTTCCCCCATATTTCTTTATAATCGTACGATGTAAAAAGTCTCTTTTTTTCTTCTATGTGCTGTGTCCCTTTAGGGTGATCACGGCTATCCACAACGTTTCTATTTTTGTAGCTCTTAAATAAAATGCAGGAAAGAAAATTTAGTCAGTACTTTTGAGTACTTTAACTTGAAATAATTTTCTCTTCTTAGTTATTTGTTTTTATTGCAACATATCTGCGCATCCATTTTCATAAAAGTATTTGGGATTGTCTGACAGGTACGCTGAACGGTGATCTTCAAGAAAACTGGTTAAACTTCGTTGACGTTCCTATTTAACGATTATTTTTTCTGAAATCTCTTTTTACCCATTAAATATGGCGGATTTTAACCATGACTATATCTACTATACTTTTAATTGCACGTGTCGTTCTGTTATTTACTAATGCTTGTATAAATATTACCAATATTTACCAATGTTTTGTATAATGAAACAGATTAGAATTAGTTTTAAGTTTCTGCAATGGTAAAGAAATGTTATATACTTGTAACTGTTTCGATCGAGTAAAAAAAAGCAAAAACGAGGCAATTACTCCGAATCATGAATTCATCTTTAAAAAAATTCAGCAAGACAATGATAAATCAAAGTAATTCAGGAAACTTATCTCAAGACGTGAAATCTAGTCTTTGAGGGCAGGATTTTTCAGTCATAAATTCTCTGGAGACCAACAATTGCTGATAGTCTATATTTTATACATAGACGCGTCTAACCTAATTTTTATGGGAGCTAACAGATCCTTGTCATCGTCGAGATATTTACCAACTACAGTAAAACCACGATATGGGCAAAGTTGGGAGATTTCCACATTTCTTGCCTGTCCTGAAACATCACCATTCGAAATATTCGATTTTACCTAAGTTTAAAACTGTTCACAGTCGCAATAAGAAATGCACATCTGTGATTCACGACAGGAATTACCACAGTACGGAATCGATTTTAATGTCCCTAAAGAAACTTTGATCTATGAAGAGATGATCTGTGGTTATTCCGTTAAAGATACGAAAATAAGCTTTGTACTCAGTGTCACCTTAGAATGTCAAGCGATCTAGGTGCCTCGAATGTTGAGCTAGAAAGATGTCAGTAGGTGGACCAACATAAACAAGAGGTGAACCCAGCTGGACTTGGGATATACACACACGAGACAACCGGGTGGCAGAAAGTTTTATAAACGCCTATTTTATGAGAGGAGAAAGGAAACCCCTCACATATTGCGTGAAGAAGCTGGAAAGTTCGAAAAAAGACCCGAAACCATATACCATTCAATTCGGTCGACTTTATTTTAACGGAGTCCAGAAGTGAATAAAAATATTACGCACGAAAAATATAGTCCTTTATTTTTTTATCAAAACTTTACTAACATTGTATAACAAATTAAAGCTTAATTTTTGAGCTTGGCCTAGTGTGGTACAACGCTCTTATCATGAACACCAGTGGTAAATACGCAACTATGTAACCGATCAAAAAAAGCCGATTTCTCTTATTAAGCGTAGTTTAGTAAGGTACAAGAATAATAGGAAAATTAGGTTATGAAGAATGTGTAGAACTAATATCCGAAATGGAAAACGCCTACTTATCTTGAAAATCATTGCATATTATGACATCTAAGACATCCAACTCCGATTTCCGCAAAAAACAAGATGGCGCATGAAATGACACTGTAAATTCATATTAGCAACTATCTTTTTATACATTTATTATAAATTTTGGTACTTGTGAGTTATCTGTTAACACCTTTTAAAATGTGTTTCTTGTGGATTATCTTTCGCCACTTTTTAATTAAGGTTGATCACCGATACAATTTTGTTGCTGCAGAATATTGAATTTTTATGGGAATCAATAAAATAGAGGAATAAGTATCACCGAGAAACAGCACGACACCATCCGAATTCATGTGGAAAAGGCGACTACTCAATGGAGTCGAGCCATTCGGCGCCATATTGCAGGCTATTGCAGCGTTCATGCCGCCTAAATAATACGATTAATGTTTGTTATTTGGAGAAATAAATATAATCTAAGAAACAAATAGTATATTTTTACACATCTGTATTTGTGAAAAAGTTGGAAAATTAATTTAAAATGTGTCAACAGATACCTCACAAATACCCAAATTTTAATATATGGAGAAAAAGCTAGACTGCATGACACCAAATACGATAACTTTCAAAATCTCGATTTTTTTTTCTCATCTCAATATGAACCACAATCTCTGACACGATTAAATTTACAAACTACCACGGCTCTATGACAATTCCAATTGCTTCTGCAGATAGATTGTTAGTCATCTGTTTATTGGCGCAGGGTGGAGTTGTTTTATGGGTGAGATACAGTTAGCCTTCAGGGTGCAAATAGACAATTTAAGAAAAGAAAAAGAAAGAGAGAAATACAGGAATATTAAAAACAAGAAGGTTAATTAAGCTAATAGGATAACCATGAGACGAAGTCGAATGAAGAATCAGCCGACTCGGAGACAAACTCGTGCGTAAATATAAACAGACGCGCGCATATGAGCTCGTTTTAGACCTGCGCATGCGAATAAGCGAAAATGTACGCGTGTTTTGTAGTTTAAATTGCCAGTTTGCTTCCTGACAAAAACAAACAAACAAACAATGTAAACAAGTTGCAAATAATATCAGTGTAATATTCCATCTTCTTAAAAACAAACACACAAGAAAACAAATAAAATAAAACTTCTACATTGATTAAATACTTTTAGTTTCCCATATGTGTGACAACAGACGAGTGGCTGAAAGCATTAGTTAATGAATTTAGCGACATACTAAGTGTTTGTTCAATCATTGCGCTGGGGTGTGCGTACTTGGACTCAATGTAAAGAGGGTGAGTAATAACTGAACAGTATTAAATAAGAACTAGACGAGATATCCCTAGACAGGGTCAGCCAAACGAGAACAGTCTACGTCTGTAGATTATACAAAGGTTCTCAGATCGACGTTTGAAACGTTATGATCCAGACTTGAAAAAAATAGGTGTAATTGAAAGGAATGATTATTCAAGATGGACAGAACCAGCAATGGATGTAAAATAAAATAAAATAAAATTCGTACTTGTGTTGATTTTTCGACATGGTTAAACAAATCTTTAGAATCCCATAACACCTTAGTAGACCCCAAATTTTCAAACCGTAAACTTTAGACGCGTTTTTTGTTTTTATATTTAATTTTACTTCAATCGCAGTGATGGACAACGGACTCAGTGGAAATGAGACAGGAAATAACAGAGCAGTACTAAAAATAAGAACTAGACGAGATATCCTTAGACAGGGTCAGCGGAAGGATATCACTCGACGCCTGTAGATTATATAAAGGTCACACGGATCGCCGGTTGAAACCTTATGAGACTCAGTCGAAACGAGCCGAGCAATAAATGTACAGTACTAAATAAGAACCAGACGAGGTGTCTCTAGACAGGGTCAACCAAACGAGATCAATCTACGCTCGTAGATTAAATATAGGGTTCAGCAGGGAATTCCCTCTAGGGTATACAGATCAGTATACACCTGACGAAGACCGGCGGTCACAACAACCGAAGCACTGTGATTACTGTAACAAAATGAGGACAACAGTCCGTATGTAAAAAAATTCAGACCGTAAAGATGAGGACATTAGCCCGACTGCCATTAATCCTTACTCAGTACCTCATCAATACTTATCTCACCAAGTTTTATTTAGTTTAATTCAAAATCTTAAATGTGTGGAACTCAAAGATGATCGAACTAACTACATAGTAATGAGCTTGTTAACTATCGCTTTACCTCAAGATGCCCAGAGTTGTTTGCTAACGCTCAAGACACCTAATGTGAATTCAGTTTACTATACAATTGTGATGGGCTACTAGACGAGTTCGTTTACTATTGATTCCACGGTGAAAGATACTTCTATAAATTTGAATTTAGTCTAGGACAAAACCTCAGATGTAGGTCAACCCTTGCGGTTCAAACTTACTTTATAATAATAATGGTTTTCTAAACTAGCTCGTTAAACATTACCCTCCGCCGAGGAAACTTATCAGCAGATTTTTTTTAACTGATTCTTGCAAAAAGTTATATAGAAAATTTTGTAAGAAGATTATGTTGCGCCAAGTGAAAATAATTCGCCTTTTTGCTTCAATAATCACTATTCGAAATCCCGGTCTTTCTTCGTCTCGAAAGCTCTCCAGACGCGTTCGCGGTGATTGTGCATTTATCTCAGGCAAACCCCTAGTTACTCATCGAGTTAGGAAATGTATACAAAAAGGATATAGCAGAAGAGAAGCCACAACTTAAAAAATTAGAATTTCAAATAACTTTTGGTGATATATTCTGTAAGAAAAGTATGTATATAGGAACAGAGAGAGAAAGGAAAGAGGGAATGAGATGACAAAGAAAAAGGACGGAGGGGTGATAAAAAGGAAGAAAAAGAAAAGGGTGGGATAAGAAGAGAAGTTTAAGGGATCTGAGTCGAATGATATAGAAGAGAAACAAAGGCCGGTGTAGAAAGACAAGGAAGAAAAAAAAAAAAAAAAGAAAAGGTGTGAGAAGATGAAAAAAAAAAGCTTAAGGGGGACATTGGTGACGAGAAGAACAAAGAGGAAAAAGCTGTAGAAGAGAGAGAAATTAGACGAGAAGAAGAGTAGGTTGGAGGCGGAAAACAAGAAGGTAAGAAAGATGAAAAGATGGAAGTGGACGGAGACGATGGTGTAGAAGTATAGATTAATGAAGAGAAAGGGGAAGAAGAAGATGTAAGTGAGAAAGAGGAGAAGAAGAAAGACAACAAAACCAAGAAACAAAAAGAAGTAATGACATAAGAGAACAATACGAAAGGAGGAGGAAAACAAGCATGAGAAAGAAGACGCAAAAGAAGGAAGAGTAGGAGGAGGGGGAAGTATGTAAGTAAAAGAGAATAATAAGATTGTGAAGAGAAGTATTATATTAGGTTGGTGCAAAAATAATGACGTAATAATGTTGTTCTTTGACGTATTTTTAACGTCAAAAAATGACATTATTACATCATTATTTTTGCACCAACCTAATAAGAAGCGGAAAAGATAAACGGAAACGAAGGTAAAAAGGAGGGACAATAAAAAAAGACAGAAGGAAAGAAGAAGAAAGAGAGGAAGAATTAGAAAAGAGACAAGAAACAAAGAGGAGAAAGTGTTATGAGAATGTAAAGGAAAAAAAAAACTAATGAAAAAGAACGAAAAGAAAAAATGAAAAGGGGGAGAAATAGGAAGAAGATAGAGAAGGCGATAAAGAAAGAAAGAAAGAAAGAAAGAAAGAAAGAATGACGTGAAGAGCAGAAATAAAAGCGGTGAAAGAAATAAAGGTACAATTTAAGAATAATGAGAAAAATGAGGGAAAAAAACGATCATGAAGAAAAGGAAGAATGACGACATGGAGGACAGATGCAAAAAACAAAGGGGACAATCAAGTAGAAGAGGAGTGAGAGATTAATAACGAGGCATAGGAGGAGGGGACATTTAAGCAAACAGATGTAGAAGGAAGGATTGAGAGAGAAGGCGAGAGAGAGACAGAAGAGTGAAGTGAAGGTAGCGGACGAATAAAATAAATAAAAGAATTTAAAGACAAAGGGATAAGAAAAGGAAAATGAACAAAAGTTGAAAGGTGTAGGAAAGAAGAACGAAGAAGAGTAAAAGAATTGATAGTACTGTTGGTAATGATAAAATAAGACAGCATCTGGGCTATTTGAACGAAAAAATACAGGAGAGAAACTTTGCTAGGTATGGGGATTACTTGTTTTTATCTGTAATGATCTTTGACTTTTATTGTTTTGTATATTGTTGCCTACAATGGATTCTTGGCGAAGATTTGTCGGATAGTTCGATAACGATCAGGGAGCATCGAGATGAGATTAACTTTCAGAATTTCCAGCAGAAAAGAAGAAGAAGAAGAAAGAAGAAGAAGAAGAAGAAGGAGGAGGAGGAGGAGGAGGAGGTGGAAGAAAGAAGAAGAAGAAGAAAGAAGAAGAAGAAGAAAGAAGTAGAAGAAGAAGGAAGAAGAAGAAGAAGAAGAAAGAAAGAAGGAAGAGGAGGAAGAAGAAAGAAGAAGAAGAAAGAAGAAGAAGAAGAAGAAAGAAGTAGAAGAAGAAGGAGGAAGAAGAAGAAGAAGAAGTAGGAGGAAGAAGAAGAAGAAAGAAGAAGGAGGAGGAGGAGGAGGAAGAAGAAGAAAGAATAAGAAGAAGAAAGAAGAAGAAGAAGAAGAAGTAGGAGGAGGAGGAAGAAGAAAGAAGACGAAGAAAGAAGAAGAAAGAAGAAGAAGAAGAAGAAGAAGAAGAAAGAAGTAGAAGAAGAAGGAGGAAGAAGAAGAAGAAGAAGAAGAAGGAGGAAGAAGAAGAAGAAAGAAGAAGAAGGAGGAGGAGGAGGAGGAAAGAAGAAGAAAGAAGAAGAAGAAGAAAGAAGAAGAAGAAGAAGGAGGAAGAAGAAGAAGAAGGAAGAAGAAAGAAGAAGAAGAAGAAGAAGAGAAAGAAGAAGAAGAAAGAAGAAGAAGAAGAAGAAGAAGAAGAAGAAGAAGACTAATGTAAAAAGGCGATAGAGTGAAAACTTCGAGAAAGTAAACGACGACCAGAATTAGACAATTACAAGTAAGTTAACTTAGAGATAAAGAAGAATTATAAGAAAAAAAAAATAATTGAACTTAAGTAGGAAGATGAAATGACGGAGAAGAAGAAGAAGAAGAAGAAGAAGAAGAAGAAGAAGAAGAAGGGGGAAATTAAAATAATGATGGAGCATAAGTATGAAAATGAAGAAGAAAAAGATGAGAGAAAAATGGAAATAAAAAAGAAAAAAGAGAAGAATGAAAGAATGAAATGGAGAGAAGAAGTGAATAAAGAAATGCAGAAGAAGAAAAAGAAGAAGCAGAAAAAGAAGAAGAATGAAAAATGGAATAATAATAAGAAGAATAGCAAATGGAAATGAAGAAGACGTAAAAGAAGGAGAAGAAGACGACGTTTAAATATTTACAAGTGATCATAGGATAAATAATTCTAATAAACTAACAAAGAAATGAACGAACAAACAAAAAAACTAAAAGTAATAGAATTAGAGAAATAAAATACAGACAACAATAATGATGATGATGATGATGATGATGATGATGAAGATGATGATGATGATGATGATGAAGATGATGAAGATGATGATGATGATGATGATGAAGATGATGATGATGATGATGATGATGATGATGATGATGATGATGATGATGATGATGATGATGAAGATGATGATGATGATGATGATGATGATGATGATGATGATGATGATGATGATGAAGATGATGATGATGATGATGATGAAGATGATGATAATAATAATAATAATAGACAGAAAAATCAAAACCGATCGCCCAGACATCGTAATCAAAGACCACAAGAACAGAATATGCTTTCTTATCGACATGGCAGTGTCTGCGGATTGTAATGTATCTTTGAAGATCTTGAAGAACAAGCAACATACAAGAATCGTGAAGTGGAAATCTTTAAAATGTGACACACGGAGACATCCACAATTCCAGTTGTAGTTGCATCCCTCCAATTGATTGGGAAAAAAAATCCGATAGACACACTGAAAGGATTCCTGGTAGCCAATGTCTGAAAGAAATACAAAAAATTGTATTTCCAAGTACAGCTCATACATTACGAAAAGCTTTATCTATGCAAAATGTGTGTCATTTTAGATTTTCTCTCTTTTTTTTCTTTTTTGTTTACAAAAATGATCAGTGGAAAATGACATGAAGACATTTCTGACCTTAGGTCTCTGGTTGCGACCCGGAATGAAAATGTGTAGACAACAGAAATCAAAGGAAATAATAATAATAATAATAATAATAATAAACTGAAGGTTTTATCCTTGCTGCACGGGACCAATGCTTGCTAACTAGGAATTATCAAGTACATATACTAAAATATTGTGTCAGCCCAAAATGCAGATTCTGTGATAAATATCCAGAAACGATTGATCATCTTGTATCAGGTTGCACGATGTTGGCACCCACTGAATATAAAACCCGGCATGACAGAGTGGGCCAATATCTGCACTGGAAAATCTGCAACTTCTACGGAAGAAAACTGAAAGAAACTGGTATGAACACCACCCAGACCCGGTTACGGAGATAGGACCTGTTACAATTCTATGGGACTACACAATACACACTGACAGAACAATCAAACAACCGCCCAGATATTGTTATTAAAGACCACAAACAAAAAAACGGTGCCTCCTTATTGATATGGCAGTCCCTGCTGACTGCAATGTATCTTTGAAGATATTCAAAAAGTTGTCAAAATACAAGGACCTTGAAATAGAAATCTCGAAAATATGGCATATGAGAACATCAACAATCCCTGTTGTAGTTGGAGCCCTAGGACTATTTGGAAAAGATTGCAGTAGACTAATTAAAGGGATTTCTGGAAGTCCATGCCTCAAGGAGATACAAAAAATTGTTCTGACAAGTACAGCCCACACTTTACGAAGGGCTTTTCTATGTATTTTTTTTTTTGTTTTTTTTTTTTCATGATGCCATTTCTAACCTTAGGTCCCTGGGCAAGGGACCCGGAAAGAAAAATGTAAACGCCAGAAATCAAAAAAATAAAATAATAATAATAATAAAAATAATTAATAATCTAATTGACAGTGAAATAAAAATTAAAAAAACATGACAGAGAACATCAATATTTTTTGTAAAATTAACAACTTCTACAGGAAAATGGGAAAGAAATGTCTGTAATAGACTAACCCAGGAAAAGTTATGGAGATAAGATACCTTGACAATTTTAAGGGTTTATATCAATACACAAAGACAGAACAATCAAATTTAACCGCTTAGATATATTATTTTTTTTTATACAAACAAAAGAATGAAAATTTATTGACATGGCAGTTTTCTGCTGACTGCAATGTAAATTTTGAAGATCTTAAAAAATATATCAAAATAAATCTTTTGAAATCGAAATCTAAAAAAATATGGCACATGGGGATATACAATCCCTGTCATTAAAAGTTGGAGCCCTTGGATTAGTTGAGAAAAATTACAGTAGACTAATTGAAGGGATTCCTGAAGTCCATGCTTTAAGAAAAACAAAAAAAATTCTTCTCAAAAATACAGCCCACACCTTACGAAAGCTTTATCTATATAAAAATATGCTTTTTTTTTTTTTTTTTAATTGGTCAGTGTAAAATGTCATGATGCCATTAAACTAACCTTAGGTCTCTGGTCGGGAAAAAAAAGAAATGTGTACACACCAGAAATCAAAGGAAAAAAATAATAATAATAATAATAATGAAGAAGAAGAAGAAAGAAGAAGAAGAAGAAGAAGAAGAAGCAAAATAAAACAACAACAACAGCAAAACAACAAAAGAACACTAAAAAACAATAAAAAACAACAACAAAAAAAGATAAAGAAGCGGAGAGGACGAAAATTTAAAATTTTCAAATCGACAAGAGACAGGAAGAAAAAATGAAAAAGGTTGCAAAAATTAAAAAAAACTAAACGGGAATAAATAGAAAAAGGTTATAAAAAATATAAAATTAAGAATGATTTAAGAGCCAATTGGCAAATGTTTGACTTACAATTAAATTCAAGTTGTTTACATAAATATTTGAAATAGAATAGAGAATAATATCATTTTAGGGGATAAAAGATGTTTTTATATGTGTGTGTGTGAGAGAGAGAGAGAGAGAGAGAGAGAGAGAGAGTGGGGGAAGAGAGAGAAAGAGAAATAGAGTTAATGAGAGATTAATGAAGAAAATAAGATAGATATTCTGAGAGACCTGAAAGTTAGATATATGTAGAAAGAAAGAAATAAAGAAAGGAAGACAGTAAGAAAGATAGAAAGAAAGAAAGAGTGAGAGAGATGTAAAAACGAGACACTTTTAAGAAGAGTATATAGACAAGTGTGTCGCATGTTTTTTAGTAGCATCATGTAATTTTAGTTGAGTTTGGTCATGCTTAGCAAATTCTCAAGTTTGAGTCTTATCTCATGTTTATTTTATGCTTAAAATATAATCCTAATGAGAGTTAGAAATTTCAGTTATTTTCCGTGAGTTGCGTTAAAAAAAAATGAGCTTCGTTTCATGCTTGAAATATGCTTATTTTTGAACTAGTCATGTCATGATTCATACTTAAAAAAAAAGGTGCACTCGGGATCGATCTCACAACGCCAGATTAGCCTGCAAAGTTAAATTGTTAAGTAGAATTTTATGAACGGCTCCTCTCCCTGCTGTACTCCGTTTAAGCGTTGAAGTTATCCATAATTTTGTATATGATTACAATAGCAAATGATTCTAGCAATAATCAACCTCACTAAATTCGCAACAGTAAATTTAGATACCAATTTGTAGCAAGCTCCTTAACAACAAAATAAACAGAATTTTGTAGTCTCCATTAGGACTTCATTATTCCAGTCGTTTAGTACAATGTTCTACATTACAATGTACTGAAGGGTTGTTAGTAGTGCTAGATTTATATTTCATTTCACGTAACTGTTTCTCTAAAATTTCATAAGGTATTTAATAGAACACTCCCTCGTTTCGAATGCGACACAAGGTCATTTTTAAACCACTAGATTAAAGGTATTAATAACCAGATTACCAATTTATATTAATCTTTTTTCTTTTTTTTTTTTTTCAGTATATTTAAAAAAGGCGTTCAAGAACGGATTGTGGCATAAAATGAAGTTTATTTTGGACAACAATGAATTATGTGCCATGCGTGATACAAACGCTTTGACGATCAAGTAATTTTCGATACATGAAGTGACGAGGCATTTTTTTCCCGCAAGAAAAAGGTTGCCAAAAAAATTTCTGCGGTAGACCAGTTGTTAGAAAGGCGGATATAGAAATAGTCTGTCAATTATTTATCCATAGCTGGGGAGAAGAAGAGGATTTAATTTAAAAGGACTTTTAGTAAAAAATAAATGATAATGGATTTGAATGGAATTTTCGGATAAATTTTCCGATTCCCCAATCAAAAGCAAATAACCATTAAAACTGGACGTAGAATCAGCATTAGGTATTGTATAAACACCTATCGAAGAAAGAAGATCTTTCTTTAACTCAAATTACCAAAGAAATAAGGACAAAATAGTGGATGTGATTCTGCCAGTTTTTAAGGTAAAGTCGTAAGAAAACAAAAAAAATTGGAAACTATCATAAAGAGGCATGACACATGGAACTAGAACAATCTAACCCGGTGGACGAAATAAAGGGTTCAGTTTGATATTCCAATCACCTGAAGAAAGCTGGAGCATACATCGGACGAAATATTGTGTATATGGCAATGAAGATGAGGATAAGAGTCCCAATAATGTAAATAATTATAAATAATGATCAAAATGAAAAATAAAAGAAGGAAAAAAATTTAATGTTTTTAACTATGTTTAAAAAAAAAATGGATTATACTTTGTATGTGAAAAGAATCAGGAAATGAAAAAAAAAATTGGAGATTTTTAAATTGTTCAGTTTCCGCATTTTAGGCCAGTAAGAATACAGAAAAAGAAGCAAGAAATTTGAGGA